TTTCATTTGAAAGTGAAAATTATTACTGTAGTCAGTTTTGTCTGGTGGAGAGTTGAGTTGTACTCTAGGTCTGTCAATCAACACTCTTTTTGCTCAGTGAAAGGTCTAGACTGGATAGAAAACTGATGGACTGTTCTAATTAGTGGGAAGCATTGTTAGGGTCAACGACCTTAGTTCCGGTTAGTGATGCCGAATAACAATTTTTATACGCAGATGTATCATGTATCTAGAGGATAAAAAATTGAGAACCGACTGTATCGATGCTAATCGTAGAGTGAGTAAAAACGTTTGAATTATAATACCAGTAGGACAATTAGGTGTGTGAATCTTGGATGCTCTGTACAGTATTAGATGAGGCTACTTTCTACGTAGTGTGGTGGACGGCGCGCAATTAATCTCGCTGGTGATCGATACAGACACGTCAGCGACGGGAAAGTTTAAGATATTCAGCCTTTAATTATACTGATGAGTTTAATCTACTCTGTACCGACGTCATCAACACTAAAGCTTCTACTATATATAATGATTATTAAACATTTTAACTGCTATTGGACTAAAATAGACTGCTTCTCTATTGTTATATGTCCTAACAAGATAACAAAAGTATGTAAACAAGTGATAATGTCTCCTACGATATTACGATATCCTTACTACATTACATATGACCGCAATATATCACTGAGCTCGGAGGTTACTTTTTAATGTATGACTAAGCATCGTTAACTTGTTGGTTTTGTTTAAATTTAAAACTATGTAAAAAGATAGAAGACATAAATAAAAAAAAATGTATTGCATATTAGCGATTCCGAGATTGTTTTGTTTACGTGAACATGGATTATTTCATAATTTACAGGAAAAATATTTTTTATAAGAGGAGAGACGGGAACACCAATTTGCACATCGAAATCGGACGGACAATGGTCCGTCGTGGTCACCATTTGTGGACAACAGATAGGGTTCTAGCTTTCGTCCGCGAATACGTCCGCGCAGAATTAAAAAAAAAAAACAAAAGCAAGTACCCTATGTGTTCTTCCAGACTATACTCTACATCTATGACAAATTTCATCGAGATTCCCTTCAGGCTACAAACTCTATCAAACATCCATCCATCTAAACTTTCGCATTTATAATATATGTAAGAAGTGAGATAATAATCAGTAAGTAAGTACTTAAACAGTAGACAGATTTGCTGGTGCAGGTAACATCCCATATTTACGTAAACTGAACAAAACACGGTGTTATTTTAAACAAACCGATCGATGGCTTCTCGTCTGTTTAATTCACTTTACTATGTTTATATGCATTAAATTATACAACATTATATAAATATATACGTTATATTTAAATACTGAATTGTATTTCTCAGGCTTCCGAGTTTCATGATGGTGAGGCTATCATTTTGTTTACATAACACGTTTTGATATTGAAAAACAAGTTTATACCACAATAGTCATAAGAAAACCTATCATGTCCCTATTAATTATCACGTACACGTCTTTAAAAGGTTTAATGAACACTAAGGGACTGCCTAAATAACCTTTAACAACGGAGAGGTAAATGGATCTCAATAGTGAGGGAATGAGCCGCACATGACACCGCGCCAGGTGCCGGAGATCACAGCCTGCAATAAAACACATCTTAACAGCTTATTACATGTAATTACTTTCTCCGACTTTATCGGTCGCCTTAATTGCACGTTCAATAAAAAAAAGTCAACATAAGGCGAGGTACATTCACATTTTGTACGACCAAATATATCCGTATGTAATGTGAATTATATGGAACACTACAGACTAATAAATTTGTAGTAATAGTGACCTTAGAAATTGATATTTGTATGTATTTCCTTTGAGTCTATGTATTAGCACTTGGGAAATACCTTTAATGATTATGCGGAGCAGGAAATTGTTTACTAAGATAAGTTACATTTGGGTTTCCCTAATAACATTAGGGGACATAATTCCCCAATGAGCATTTTAACAATTTTTTACGTCAATTAAGCAAACTGTCGATCGCTTTGTTGATGTTTCTGATAAACTTTATTTATTTAAATCTAAATATATGTTTAGATTATGTGCGCAGTTCATTAGAGTTTAATTAAAATCGTGCGGCGGTCAATTCGCACGCTTTCGTCCGTGAAGCAGCGATCGCGGAGTGCTTGTATATTTACATAAGCATTTAAATAACACGCAAAGGTCGTGCATTTCTCATGGCCGGAGAGGAACACGGGGCGCATCGTTAGTGCATATCTGGAGGAAAGTGAGTAAACACCATTAAATTACAATTAAACAAAGTTTTTTTAGAAAAAATGTGACCTTGAATTAATTGAATAAATGTGGAAAACACAATAAAAGCGGGCTGCAGCATGTGCAAGATGACGATGCAGGGTTTTCACACGCACGAGTAAATGAGGAGGTACGGATCGCCGTGTCGCGCTGTTCCCGTACAATACTCATTCACAGAACACAACAAACACCATTATACACAATCCTTGGAACACAAATAATAAATACTAACATTTTTTCATGTGAAGTAACTTTAAAACAGCCGTGGGAGTGGAATTTGCGGTTACCGATAAAAAATAATGTTGGAAATATCGAAAAAAATCCAAAATAGCAAAATCTTGATTTATGTGTGATAGGTTTATTTGAAAAACTATTGCATATTGATTGTTTGTTGACTGAGATGAGTGCAGCGGTTCTATTGATTTTACCGTTACGTAAAGAGTGTTCTCTTAAATAACCAAATGCTCGCACACTATTTCTAGAATTTGCAATATTTACAGCAAGTAATTATCACTTATCAAAATGGATGGTAAGGTTCTATAACTCAAGGAAAAATCAAGTTTCTCCTTATACATCGTTACCAAGAAAACTCTTTCTTAGAATCAAATAGTTAAGTAAACAAGAATTGTTTACAAAGTAGATTCATTTGCATTTTAAATTTTAGCGCGAGATCTCTGTCCTATTACTATTTTTTTTCCAATAATAGTAGACATACTCAGGATTGTTAGATAATGCCTAAATCCAGACATTTTAAATACCAATAAGTACACATTGCTGGCAATGTCAGGACAAAAGAAGGACGAAGTCTTCGAGCAGGCCGCAAATGCCGCAAGCTCCGTCGTTCTCAGACCCTAGGCCTAGAAAGCGACAGTGATTGGATTGCGTAAACGGTTCGGCGGTCGACGACCGCGACGGCAGTGCGGGGAAAGTCGCGCGCTAACCGTTGTTCAATTAACTATGCGCAAGCGCAGCCCGCCTGAGCGGCAAATCGATTTAGAAAACAGCTGAATCTTTACGCACCTAATTCAAAGATTAAATACCAACTAAAATGTAATAAAAAGGCAATTGACGTAAACATAATTAGTTGTAATATTAGTATGATAAAATAATTATGCAATAGTTGAAACCGATAAGATAGTAGTAGTAACAATTATTAAAAACTTACACAGGTTACTTTCAGGTCAATTATTTAAGTGAATTAAATGAAATGAGTGTCAGGCAGGAGTGGCTCAGGGGTTAAACTCTTGGGTTGTTATGTAAATCTGGATTCAAATCCCGCTGTTACCAATGTATTCTTTAATTTTGAAATGTCTTTAGTTATTACAGTAAAAAAACATCTTGATATGATCTGCACATATTGGAAAACAAATTTAAAGATATTTATGTGTGAAGTCAACATACAGTATCAGCGTGGTTGAATATGGTCGCATAACTCTCGGTCAGGTTGGTTCACTCCTAACTTTGGTAGACGGTGAAAAAGGTTTTTGAGGAATTTTTTTTTCAAAGATAACAAAACATATTAAAAACCTAGACTTGAAGTGTTTTGTAGAAGAAAGTTAGATAATAAATGTTAATTGGCAATTCAAAGATTTTAATATAATAAGCAATGTTATTTTAAAATAAACATTGAAATATTGGATTCTTAAGTAATGACTACATTAAATGGAATATTTTTAGATTTGTTTATAAACATATTAGTTAATTACAATTTAATTACTTATAATAAATAGTTTATTTACATATCTGTGTACTAATTTAACTATATTCAAATACAATTAATGTTTATAAATAAATAATTAATTTCTCATACATTTTAAAGCTGACCTTGGTTGATGTGTTATGAACCCCTCTTTGACATTTTTTTACATGTGAGCAGATAAAATTAAATACAATAGTTTAGAGTAAAATAAACAAGAATTACAAAAACAAGTTGTTGCTCACAACTCTATCTGTGCGGAATAAAACAAAACTTAACTAGTAGCCTATGAATGTATTTCAGTCAGATAGGTTGAGCCATTATAGAGATATGTCATAGATTTAGCAAACATCCATCTATCTAAACTTTTGCATTTATGACTTTAATAATTTTAATTAAACACATTTTGAGGTGTTTTCATCTCATTTAAGAATTCCTAAAACAAATATCTACTGTAGTAGGTTTTGGTATTTTAATATTTTGCGCATGTTTTTCCTGTTTTTTGTAACTTGCAAGTAATAAGCAGTGCAGCGGCATTGCAGCGCCAAATGCTAATTGTTATTGTTTACTCACGCCAGTGACTCTAAAGGTTCTTTTATTGTAATACAAATAAGTTTGAGCATTTTCTTCAATTTAATAGGCTGTTTAAGAATAAATTATTTCCACAATATAATATACTGTAAGTTAAGAAAAAAAACAAATCACTAGTATTTTAGAATATTCTTTTCTTTACTTACATTGTGGCCTTCACAAAACACTTTCAATTTGTAAAGATTCTATTAATTAAATATGAGATTCTGCTTGCAAAACAAACCCCTCCAGTTGTAAATAACACATATTACAACTGCCACAACTTATTAAGTGCTATTTAATACATGTTTAAAATACTTGTAGATGTTGAGTATTGCGTCTTAATTGATCAATCAAGTAACCTTGAAATCAGCTGACGGAATGTAAAATGTCCTAAATACCGAGGTTAATGTTTTCTTTGTAAAATACAGCAACATTATACCACTCACCTCTTCACGTCTTTTGAGCCAGCGGCCGCAGGGACTCTCCTCGAGGATTTCGCTCTCATCCTCGGAATCCTCCCCGCTTTCCCTCGGCGACTTGCGCTCCTTGTCGATGCTCCTTCCCCCCGACATAACACCGATTTAATGAAACACAGTGTGAAACCACCACTGCACAGTATATCAAATATCTCACAAACGTTTTCCAGAAGAAAACACTCGGATATATTTTCAAAATACACTTTTTCTCGTAACCATAACCAAGGTTGCAAGGCGAGATGTCACTAATGTTCCATCCCAAACCATTATTTGATACACGACACTCGTTTATGACCTCCTATCGACAAATTATACAGTTCAAATATTCCTCTACTCAAAGCGATAACACACAGCTCGACTAGTGAGCTTACTCATGATAATTGAAATAAATTGTTCGCCGGCGTCGTAACTCTCGACGTATTTCGGTCCGACACAAATATAAAACCATAGATTCTGTTAACTTTTTGCTGTCTTTTTCTGTAGGCATAGACAATTTTTTGCTAGCATGTCAATATCCTTTAAAACATTAAAAAAATGTCTTAATTAGAAAAACATAGACGTTTTTAAAATTACGTTTTTGCAAAATTGGTTACACTTTTGGCGATTTACTATTTTCTTCTTTTAATTTTCCCAGCGCCATCTATGACAGGTTATTTTTTTTCGATTTTCGAAAACCATGCACTTGAAATTACTGCCATCTATCGGCAGTTTAATTTTTTTCGACTTTCGGAAACCACTTATTTGAAATACTGCCATCTAGGTGATAGTTGCTTAATTGGAATCTTTATTTTCTATGTTTGCATTTTTACCAATAGATGTCACACTAAGGCTTTGGATTTAATTTAGACTGAATGGAAATTGATGCAAAAAATAATTGTATATGGTTCTCATCAGGCAATTGGAATTCTTGCGAATTTTAAAGAGGCCTTGTTCATTACTATTGTAACGAGTTGTTAAAATTCTCGTCAATTGGTTTGGGTGAATTTCTTTGAAGGGAAGCGGAAAGTATGTGCGAAGATTTTTTTGGATAAAAATCTAAAAAAAACCAACATCACGCGGTGTTCCCAGGCGGTCACCCATCCAAGTACTGACCGCGCCCGACGTTGCTTAACTTCGGTGATCGGACGAGAACCGGTGTATTCAACGTGGTATGGACGTTGGCAAGCATTTAAACGTAATATCTGATTAAATTATTAATTTGTGTCATTCTATTTTTTTTAACTTGAACTTATATTCACTCGTATGGGAGTGAAATTATGAACTGAATATATCTTTCATTCAAGCAATATGTTTAATTTAAACGAAGTACATTTTCTCAAAGATAACACCGCCTCCAAGACAAAAAAACTTGGAACAGCGACACGACGTTACAATAGAATCGTTTTCTTGTAAAATTATTTTCTTTAGACTGCACGGAAACATTTCAACAAGTACAAATATTGGCAGTCGGAATTCGTATTATGCACATGGACTTTAGGAAATGTGGAACGTCGTCTACTAAAAGGATAAATATATTAATTTTATGTGAAACATATTAGAACAGAAAACTTTTATGTGCTATGTTATGGTAAGCTATAAGTTGGTAGACAAAATGAAATGTAACTATAGGTTTTAGTAGTTAGTTACTTAAGTAGCACTTAAAGTTGCAGTCTCTGGCTCAGCTTCCATAATCTGTCACTCGCATTAAAAAAGGACCTTATAAAATACAAAGTCAGAACAAGTTTACGGCCTACTTTTGTGTACTTAATGGAAACGAACAGTAACTTTGTGGCCCATAAACTGCGCTCCTAGACGATTGACGTTATTAACATCTTTATGTGCCTTTGAGTGCGTTCTTACGTATTTCTGAACTTGAACCATTTTATGTGGACAGACGCGCTGTTATTTATTTTTAATGATCAGATTTTATAAGACCTTTCTGTTCTTTGTAATTCTTAATATTCAATCATATATGTAGGTTTTCTCATTCAGTTCTTCAGAGGACCACAACCAGAAGAAACTGGTGTACTATGTAATACAGCATGATGAAAATATATTAACAATATTTTAGATTACAAATAATTAATGACCCCAAGGTATTCGTAAAGCCTGAGTAGGGTAACCTATAAATACATAATGTAAAGGTATTATTTCATTATGATAGATGAATCCCTACCAGTTGTGGGCCGTACAATGCCCGTCTGCTGAGCGATATTGGATTCACACAAAGGTCGACCTACAAATACATGTTTTATCTATTGAAAAACTTGAGATGAATAATTCATACACCGTGATTACATTCTGACGCAAAGGTTACCCAATGCTCAGCGCTCAGTGCTGCCATCTCATTATCAAATATTTATTAAGAATTTGTTAAAGTAATAACTCGCGTAATTGTTCGAAACAAAATATCACAACGAAATAATAACATTTGGAATTCTAATTATTACTACTTCTAAGACTTGCAAGTTCTTTTTCTTTGATATGTTTTAAGCTTAAAGATTTTAGAGTTAGTTAAGACGTGGGAATTAAATTCAAGAAGAAAAGCGAAGGTGTGTAGTTTTTTAGCTTTAAGGTCGTCGTCAGAAAACAGAAACAGATATTAAAGGATAAAGATTTTTATAAGAATTGATAGAGCTCTAGCATTAAGCATACGAAGCGTGAAGGTATGTTATGTCACTGTGTTTGCACACGTCACCATACAGAATAAAGATGACAGCGACGCACGCGAGCTGCACATGTCCTACTTGCAGCACTGCGACAACAATAACAAGTTTATGCTAATTCAGCAACGTATTCGAATTGCTTGAAGACGTAAACATGCACTTTACATTATTCTAATCATTTTAATGTTTTAAAAACAATGGTAAATAACATAATTGTAGCTGTCACGTGTACTTAAATATTTGCATGTCTTCTCCAATTTGGCTAAAAGCAAGCGGACTTATATATCCACAGTTTGCAATTACGTTTATTTAGTTTCAGCATATTTTCGCAACGCAGCACAAATTAGTCAGATATGATCTTTATTTGTTGAATGTATGAGTTCCAACCGTTTCGCTTGGACTGTGCGTACCGATAAGATCGCCAAACTAAACTACGTGCTCCTACCGATTTACGTTCATGACTAGTTTTATATAGATATACTATTGCAAGTACTGTTTACTTAAATATGTAAAGTCTCTAAAATAACTAATGTTAGGTACAGCTACTGTTTGGTGAGGACTATTCAATGACGAACTATGTTATTCAGTCTAGCGGCTCTGCTACATAAACAATTCTTTGACAATTATATTGTGATACTCAAACTGGTACTTGTTTGAAGTATGCTTTTAAAACAAATTATAAAATATACTGAGAATACTTAATTTTTTTTGAAAGAATATAAAAGTACAATAAAAGGTTACTTAGAATAAGGGAAGCACGTTTCATAAATATTGAAGAAGCAATTCCCCGCGGGCGAGAGGACAAATACCTGCTTTACTTTACTTTAATAAAACTGTTTTCTCCCGAACAAGTTGTTTTCACAAAACATCAAGTAATAACAAATCGCAAGCTCCGCGCGGGAGCGCCAACAATATAAACTTTCAAATCTTTAATTAGTACAAGATTTGTTTTAAAAATGTGATTTTTAGCTGTAGCTTTTGTTGAGTATGTAAGTATATTATGAAGATAACAAAACACATGTGAGGCTATATTTGTATAAATTTAACGTTAAACACACAGAAGTGTGCTCGTAAAGCAAACATTGCTGCTTTTGATGTCAGGCTTCGGCATTATTTCTTTTATCAAGGCACGGCCTTACTGTTTGATTGTCGTATGACCAGGGACTTAAAATAGAGGAGCTTAGGTCTTTCCCTCTGCCTTTAGTATTTTCACTTCGTTCTACAATATTTTTAAACAGATCAACATTGTGATAAGTCGCAGGAGCGAAGGAACACGTAGGTACTTACTGTCAACGGGGCGCGTCGCCGAGCAGCGCGTGCCCGCTGCCGGCGCATACACGATACTTTATACACAGCAAGAAGACATCAAGAGTCACGTCTCCCCAACAACGTCTCATTTATAAACAAATCGACACTCGAACACGTCACGTCGAGCGCACGAGCCGTGCTAGCTTTACAGTGCTGTGAATACAACAGAATTTGTATCGTAGAATTTCCTTGAAATATCAGTCCTACTTGCAACTTATTGAGGACTCCATCTTTAAATCTTATACTTAAAGATGTTTAAATTTATCCTTGCTTGGAAAAATCATTTCATAAACTCAGAACCTTTATTTTGGATGGTAAAACCTTTTAACGTCGAATGTACGAGATATTTTTGAAAAGAGTATTAAGTCGTAGAGTATATTTATAGCTAAAATAAACCCTTTCAATGTATTCGTACGAAGTTATTGGTTTTTTAAACAGATATCAAAATATGAATGAAATACCAATATTTTTTCTAGACATTGACGAGTTCTGTCAAAGGCAAGCCAACGCTGGAATTGCAAATTAGCCGACATCTGCTCAAATAGAGCTGCGGGTAAATGTTGGAAAAACGAGGATAAAGGTTAATACACGTCGGGAGTTCAAAATAACATTCGAAGTTACTTTTTAATAATTTCACAATATTCAGATTAGAGAAAAATATTGTCTTTACGCGTCCATTTGAGAATTATAACATATGTTGCCCGTATAAAAACAGCATTTTCATATTGCTTTGTTTTTCTCACCTTTTGGGAATTGTTTTAATATAGTGAGCAGTGTAGTTGGTAATGTGTCGCACCTGACGTCTCCGAGCTCAGCGACAACAAACAAACTAGGACATTGTCGTACCTTAGTAGCACCGTAGCTCCGTAGCAACGTAGCAACGCAACGACGTAGTCACAACTTGCTGATTTATAAATATAATTTTTAAGTTAATAATCCACGTCGATAAATGTAATAAGATCAGTTCTCTTAAATAATTAATTCAATATGAGAACATTTTCTAATACGAATTATTTTAACAAAATAACTTCAAGTGTAGAGCCTAATTAGTTGTAGACATGACGATAAATTATATTCTGATAATTAACGTATCAGAAATCTTGCTGACGATGTAGACGGGAAAATGATGAATGTGTTCGTCAGACGCCTTCAACCTACTTACGTAAACAAATCAATTATCAACATTCATTATACGAAAGTCGGAACAAAAACAAATTTGATTAAAAAAAGGAAATCACAGTGTTGTTTACGACTGAAAGTTTTATATTAATTTCAGGAAATTTAACATATTTGTAAATATTAGAATATTATATTATATGTATAAAAATTAATATTAACGTGAGATATAATACTTGCGGGACTTGGTAATACTTTGAGCATTTATTGCCTTACATATTGGATTCTGCGAACTGTTAAATTAAAAATTGTACAGAAACGATTTTACTTTAATACGTTCTACTGAGAAATCCTAGTTCTGTAATATGTAT